CTTTTTAGTTTAGAAAATCTATCTACTGTTAATTTATTTTGTAAGCATCCTCTTTTTCTACCACTATGATCATAAAATCGCTAATTATTCGTCACCTATTGAAGTCTGAAGATCTAAGATAAGAATTTACTCTTTTGAGTGAAGAAAAAATATTTCATTTGATGTCACTCGAAGAATGCTTATAACTAACTATTGAACCCTGTCGGCGCATTGTAATTTGTAGATTGTATAGTCAAGGCCAATAAGACATAGACAAAAATAGGAGAGCCAAGGTATACCCTGCCCCCCCCCCAAATGGGCGCCCCTGGAAGAACTATTGCATATACAATATACCTAACTATAGTACCTATTTCCTCCTATAATATCATGATATAATCTTATGTATATCAATTATTTGTTGCATGGAGTTGTAGCCTTGTAGGTATACTTATAATATGACGATTGACTGAATGTACTATAATCATGTATTCATGCACACACGCAGTAGGTAGGTAGGTATGTCACGTGTCGCCACGTCGGAAATCAGTATACTGCTATGACAAATTAACGTATATATATATAAAAATATAATATATTAATATTTACTATTTCGTATATTTGTTTTTTTTCATGGATATTACTGTGTATTTTGTTTTTGGTAGTGACCACAGGTCCTCACTTCCTCAGATATATGCTATAATATATTGATTAAAAGTGTACTAAATAATATACTGTAGTATATTTAATATCTGTGTTAGTGACCAACAATAATAACATACGAAACAAAATACTAAAATATTACATAATATTATCAGCTATCTAAATTTCTATACAACTCCAGATCTGATCATACAACTATACTACATACCTATAATATCAATATGTACTARTATTATAATATTATTTTGTTATATCGCTACAAGAGCTGTGTTCAGACGACATGAAGTAAGATATTTTAGTATAATTTGTTACCTTCCTACCTATAAAATACCTAATACCCACCAAAATTATATTAAATGTAGATAGGCAATCGTTTTAACGGTGTTTTCTCCGTCAGCCAWGAGCAAGGCGGTGCAGAAGTCTGAAAAAATTTCAGCCAGAGACACCTATACCTATTATTTACTTACGTCCTGGATAAGCTTATTTTTTTAAGGTTTAAGTGGATACATATTTTGAAGTTTTGAACATTTAAAGTTGTATTAAT